ATTTGGAGTTGGAAGGAAGATTTTGAGTACATTAGGTATACTTAAAGAGAAAGCACAACCTATTATACAAACTGTACAGAAAGGTTGGGATGTAGCACGAGATGCAACAAATCTTATTCCAAATCCTGAAACAAGAGGAAAAGTTCAAGGATGGATGGACAATGTAGGAAGACAAGCAGGAAACTATTATAACAAAGCAAATGACTACTATAACCAAGCAGGACACTATATGACCAAGGTGAAAGATTCTTTAACAGAGGATATAACCATGCACAACAGTGGGTAAACAATAACCAACCTCAACCGCCTCAAACTTGGGAATGTAAAGTTTTTTATTGAGATGAAATGAACAATACAGCATTGAGACAAATGGTTCAAGATGGATTTGTCGGCTTCCAGCAGTTACACAACGTGTTTGTCAAGTTCTTCCTATACCTCAGGAAGTTTTAGACCGACTTAAAAAACAACAACAACCAGTTGAAAACAAACCAAACTAAAATTTTTACTGAGATGAAATGACCGAAGAAGTTGAAACGGTAGATTTGACACCACAAACAAAAAGTTCAGAACCATTGTCAAAACCTGTCAAAGAACTTACAGAATGAAGAGAAAAATTCAAAAAAGAAAGTGCCAGGTCTGGAAATACAAACCCTAACTACAAAAGTCACTTTTCATAAAAATGGAACGGCAAGTATCTCAAAAAAGAAACAGACTCTCACAAATAAAATATTGAAGTCTGAAGGAGCTTTCGACAGACAACAGATGGAAAAGTTTTACTTCACTGACCAACAGTTCATTATAGAACATCTCATTGACTTAGAGTCGAAATATTCTAAACTTTACAACAAACACAAAAAGTTGAAAGGAAAACAAAAACAAATGGCATATGATATTTATGAAGATGTTGACGACACAACTGTTCCTGCAAGTGAGTAAAGTCAAAGGAACCGAAAAGTGACGAAAAACCGATAGAAGAAAGAAACCAAAAACTGAAGATAAACCAAAACCAAAGTTTAGTTTGGAAACTAAACCAAGTCAACCTTCATTAGCTGGTATGGGTTGGCGTCAAAGACTTATGGCAGCAGGCGGTTATGTAAAGTAAAGAGAAAAAAATATTTTTTTATTTTTATAAAAATGCCCCCATATAGAATGGACAGAAAGTCTGCTAGAATAAAAGCAGAGTTGCAAAGATATGGTTGGAGAGTTTCGAAGAATTTTAAATATAGGAAGGGAAGACCCATAAAAGTCTATGACAAATTGTCTGGTCTTCGCTACGAAATGGATTTGGAAACAGCACGTGCAAATTATCCAAACAGACTAGAGAGGTTAGAAGAAGAACGTCTTATGGACATGCCTTTCGATGTTAGTGAACCTCAAGTTGAAGGACACGACGGCTTTGCCAGATTCTACTGGAAACATGACGAACAATTGCATCCTTTGAGAAGGAAAAAAGGAAAAGGTGAAGACACACATGCTCCCATGGAAAGAACAAGATATGCATATGAAAGTACCGTGAAGTTAGAAGTCAAATTACATCTGGTCGAACCTTTACAGTAAACTTTGACGAAGGAAAGAACAAAGAAGGCTTCATGGGTGTACTTGCTGCCATACAAGACGGAAATAAGAAAGGATACAATCTCAGATTGACCATAACAGATTTGGATGGTCACATTTACTATGCACATGGCAATGTCACAACAGCCGCACAACTTCTTGACGCTTTCAAGACTACAAAGAGAGAACAAATGGTTGACTCCGACTCAGACATTTTGAATGCAATTGAAGGAATTGCAAGTGTCAAGTTCGAATGGTACCAACCTAACCCTCAAGCAGTCAGACAACATGTTTGTTAGATGAGAAATATGAAATGGCATACCATTTTAAAACAATATATTTTTACATATATTAAATGCTTCAGGTTGAAAAACAAAGAACAAAAGTAGCAGATACAAAACCATTAGACTATATCTTTACAAATGCTGGTAGGACTATATCAGATGAAGAAATTTCATCCCGAGCGTACAGGTTTGACTATCCAGTTTGTTGGCTTCAAAGTCCTTCAGATGCAAAGGCAATAGGATTTAGAAGAGTTTTGTTTTCAAATAGAACTAACGCATTTATGTTCGCAGTATATTTTCATGGGCAGTATAAAGGTTCTGATGGTCTAATAGACAAATTTGACGAAATGAGGATCTTTACAGTTCGTTCAGACGAAAGTCTTGAGAAAACTCTAAATGACTTTCAAACTCAAATAAACAAATATTATTGGGAATTTCAAGAAAAATACGACTCTTTACTAAATGGAACATACTATCTGAAACTAGAATATGACAAGATGAACTCCACCGTTTCATTTCAAAAGATTGAAATTAACCCTCCAAGAGATACAGAGTTTTTATTTTGGCAAGTAGACAAACGTTCTTGGGCACAATTTCTTCGGTTACTAAACCAGAACGAACCATTACCACCAGATGGTCCATTTAAATTTATACTTCCACCAGCAGATTTGACAGTTTATAGAAACGTGTTTGACCCTCAAAATGTTATGTGTCATGCAAGTTTCAGTTCAAGCAACAATAGTTTTCTATGTATTGGTAAGGACGTTTATGACTTTGCTTCTAAATTCTACGAACCACCTAGTAACAGTTTCTCTGACTTTCAAGTTTGGTTCACAACAAATGGTGTGCAGCATATTATACCATTGTACTATGACTTTTATCTCGAATTGTCTTTCATATATAACTACGGAAAAGTGCTGAAAAAGTATTGAAAAATATATTTTAGGGTAGATGGTTTTTAGGTGTCACCAGGTCCCTCGGTCCCTCGGTCATTTTAACTTCTCTGAAAAAGTGTGACAACATGACATTTAGACAACAGTCCAGGAAATAAACTTCATCGTACATGTTTTGTCATGATTTCATCGTAAATGTTTTGTCAAGACTTCATCGTACATGTTTTGTCATGACTTCTTCATCGTATTCTTTCACCCGTTGAATTTTGTATAAAAAGCAACCGCCGGAATTCCGGCGGTTGGTATATTCTTCACAAAATGCTTGTTTTGAGGTCGAGCCACTTTTTGGCTCCACCGTATTTTTCAACCAAAACTCATTTTTTTCGGCAAAAATATATTTTAGGTTAGATGGTGAGATCTCAGAACTAGTCTTATACTGTTTCAAGACAATGTCCGACGGTTAAGCCACAAACGAATGTCCGACGGTTAAGCCACAAACGAATGTCCGACGTACCACCCAAAAATATTTTTTATTTTTATTGTAAGAACTGAAATGACAGTCGAAGCAAAAACGTTCACGAACAAATCTAATGGCGAAACATTCATAAAAGGCACTTACAACGGTATTGAAGTCTTACGTAGAGACAAGGATGGTTATATAAATGCAACAAATATGTGTCAGCAGTTTAGGAAAGACTTTAGAAAGTTGTTGGAAAATAAGTCCTGGGAAGAGTATTTTAAGGCATTTTGTGAAGAATATAGCAACCGCCGGAATTCCGGCGGTTGGTTTTTATACAAAATTCATGCAGGAATTCCTGATGAAATCAAACAGGTTAGAGGAACGTATGTAGACCCAAGACTTGTAAACTATATAGCAATGTGGGCTTCTCCAAAATATTGTATAGCAGTTGGAAAAATTATGGACTCCATAGACAAGAAAGTTCATGAGAAATTAGATGAAGAAGAACTCGAAGATACAGTAGAGAATGCTAAACCTTTGTTCGAAACAAGAAGTTAGAAAAATGCATGAAAAAAAAATAGAACATGAACATGAGATGTGTTATGGTTATAAAGATTCTCCATACGAACTAGACCAATGGGAACAAGAAGATTTAAAGAGAGAATTTAGAGAATATGAACTCGCTAAGATAGCATTTGAAGCTGCAGAAAAGAAGTTAAAAGTTTGGGGTCGTTTTGTACAAAAATATTGTGAGTAAATGAACCATTTATTTTTATTGAATTCGGCAAAAATATATTTTAGGGTAGATGGTTTTTAGGTGGAACCAGGTCCCTCGGTCCCTCGGTCCCTCGGTTAAACGAACTTCTCTGAAAAAGTGTGACAACATGACATTTTGACAACAGTCCAGGAAATAAACTTCTTCGTATATGTTTTGTCAAGACTTCTTCATCGTACATGTTTTGTCAAGACTTCTTCGTATATGTTTTGTCACCCGTTGAATTTTGTATAAAAAGCAACCCGCTGTTTTCCGGCGGTTGGTATATTCTTCACAAAATGCTTGTTTTGTCAAGACTTCATCGTAAATGTTTTGTCATGACTTCATCGTAAATGTTTTGTCAAGACTTCTTCGTAAATGTTTTGTCATGACTTCATCGTACATGTTTTGTCAAGACTTCATCGTATATGTTTTGTCAAGACTTCATCGTATATGTTTTGTCAAGACTTCTTCGTAAATGTTTTGTTACCCGTTGAATTTTGTATAAAAAGCAACCGCCGGAATTCCGGCGGTTGGTATATTCTTCACAAAATGCTTGTTTTGAGGTCGAGCCACTTTTGGCTCCACCGTATTTTTCAACCAAAACTCATGAATTTTGACACTTTCACAAAAAACATAAAAAATAAAGTTAGTTTTTTAAAAAAAATATTTTTTATTTTTATTGTAAGAACATGTTAGCAACAACAGCACCAAACTCGTTAGTCATGAACCCAACTTCAATGTTAGTAGAGATGAAAAGCTTCATTCCTTCTTCATATACTTTCGAAACAGAAATCCAGAAGATAAAGCAAGAACTTCTCCAAGGAGATTTAGACTGTAGTGCGAAAGATGAAACAAATGAACAGTATCTTTATGAAATGCAGGACCTGGTGGAACATCTACCTAAACTTCCTGAAATACAACAACAAAAGCTCACTATTCCAGAATTCGATGAAATAGAAGTCAAAGCAACTGACTCAGTAGAAATAAAGAAGTTCATACGAAAGGTAAACTATGAGTTTCTTGGATTTCATTGCAACCACAAAGACTGCGATATGGTATATTTCATTGACATATATAAATCTGGGGAGTTTAAGACCTACGACAACTTTGTTTCGTTAGTTGCAAAATGTGTATGGCAGATAAGAGATAAAGATAGAAGAGGTAAAGTATGGAACGGACAGATAAAACCCGCAACTTTTGAGTTAAAGAAAACCATTTACGCCTTAGTTGTTTTAGCAGGTAAGGTTTCAATGTACAATGCTAAAATGAACCCACAATGTTCAAAATGTAAAGCAGCAATGAAGAAATATAACTACTCCGTCAAAGAGATAGAACGTATGAGAAACGACTATGCTGACTTAAAGAAAGAAGTAGAGAAACCAGCAGAAGATAAAATGGACATGTTGACATTTCTGAACAAAAACTATCCAACAGCTGACGATTTCCTTCTATCTGATGTCAAGAAGAAATATAAAGAAACATTCGGCATAGTTAAAACTTTTGATATCCTTCGTGAAGAAATAGAAGCCACAAAACTGTTTAAAGTCATGAACCATCACAACATATACCATGTAAAACGCTTATAAAACTTTATGGTAGAAATATATTTTTGTCTGATTTACGCTCATTACGAAGAAGTCTTGACAAAACATATACGAAGAAGTTTATTTCCTGTGTTGTTGTCAAAATGTCATGTTGTCACCATTTTCAAAAAGATGTTAGTTGACCGAGGGACCGAGGGACCTGGTGACACCTAAAAACCATCTACCCTAAAATATATTTTTGTCTGATTTACGCTCATTGACGATGAAATCATGACAAAACATATACGAAGAAGTTTATTTCCTGTGTTGTTGTCAAAATGTCATGTTGTCACCATTTTCAAAAAGATGTTAGTTGACCGAGGGACCGAGGGACCTGGTTCCACCTAAAAACCATCTACCCTAAAATCGTGAAAAAATGACTAAATTTCATTATATAACTGCTATTTTTTTACGAAGAGAACTTTAACACTTCGTCAAAAAAATCCCTGAAATCATAAAAAAAATGACTAAATTTCATTATATAACTGTATTTTTTTTACGAAGAGAACTTTAACACTTCGTCAAAAAAATCCCTGAAATCATAAAAAAATGACCAAATTTCATTATATAACTGTATTTTTTTTACGAAGAGAACTTTAACACTTCGTCAAAAAAATCCCTGAAATCGTAAAAAAATGACCAAATTTCATGAATTTCCTCATATGTTTGCTACCCTCGGAAAACCGAGGATAGAGATTCCGTACGAAAATCGTGAAAAAATGACCAAATTTCATGAATTTCCTCATATGTTTGCGACCCGAGGAAAACCGAGGAACGAGATTCCATACGAAAATCGTGAAAAAATGACCAAATTTCATGAATTTCCTTAAGATACAAAATAGAAAAAATAAAGTTAGTTTTTTAAAAAAAATATTTTTTATCTTGTATGTAAGAACAGAAAATGACAAACACTGAGTTTGAAACAGTTAAAAAGATAGACAATGACACCAAAGTGGTTAGAATTGGTGATTTAAACGTAAGATACTCAAAGAAATACAAGAAATATTCTTTGTCAGACATTTTATCTCCATCTGGAAAGAAAGCATTCGACTGGGTTAAAATTGCTTCAACTCAGAAAATTTTGACAAGAAATCCTGAGCTTATGATATCAGTAGCATTTCATGGAACAAGAGCATATCTTATAGACAAAAGTCTTATACCAATAGTTTTGTTATGGTTAGACCCAGTTGTTGGATATAACTTCATAACAATAGGTTCATTCGATACTGAACGTTGCAGTGAGGGCTTACTTTACATCGTTCAGAAACCGAAGGACTTCAATACAAAGAGATATAAGATAGGAAGAACATATAATATAACTAAAAGATATGACAGTATAGTCAATAGAGTTAAGGTTGTGTTCGTTAACGATATGAGAGCTGCTGAAACAGAACTACTTGAAAAGTTTGAGAAAATGTATGGTGCTCCCACGAAAGGTAAAGAAACGTTTGAAGTAGATGAGAATAGGTAAAGCTATAAAATTATTTGACGAAGTTGCTGAAAATACATGTAAAGCGTTTATTTTTGGTCTTTTGTGAAAGTCAGAAAATAACGCTAATTTTTTATAAAATATTTTTTTTATCCGGAATATAAGGACAGATATGTCAACATCAGAGAACACAACAACTGCTATCGTTCATGAAGACATAAATGAAGAATATGAGTGGGTTCAGTTTAACAAACAACTCCGTCTCATTCGTTCGGTCAAAGACGACATGTACCAAATGCAAAGTATTTTGACAGCATGTTTTGCTCCAGATACCAAACATACAGACGATTGGTTTGAATTAAATAGCACTCATGAACTCCTCAGTGAGTTTGAACATGTAGAACTTAAAAAGATGTACCAAGACAGACAAAACTTACCATCACATCTAAAAGGTATATATGTTCATAAGTTCCTAGTTAGTTCAATAGCAATGTGGGCTTCACCTCGTTATGCAATCTACATACTTATGCTACTTGACGAACTTTGTACAAAGCAGAGAGAAGATATGATGAAAGAAGACAAAAACATACAGAAAAGAATACCACGTTCGGTACCAAAAGGAAAGGAAAAGAACTATAAGTATATGATTTATACTGAAGAGATGGAAAATGAAGAAGACAGAGATATGGTTATGTTGCATTTAGTCAGAAGAAACAACAAAAGCTTTTACGACCTTGCTAAGATTTACAAATCTGACAGAAATTGGTTCTATCGCGAAAACTTACCGATTTCAATGACACCAAATGAAGATGTGAAACAAATAGTTCAAGATACGTTACCTCAAACACACTATGACATCAAATGTTGCACAATACTTACATTCAAAGAAGATTTGCCGCTACTGAAAGAAAAAATAACAGAGTATTTTGACAACTTCAAACAAGTAGAGTAAATGAACCATTTATTTTTACGCTTGACTTTTTACAATTTGAACTTTGTTTGCGTAGATGTGAATTCTGAAAGAAGTATGAGGGTCTTGTATGACTTTGTACCTCTCCCATAGTTCATGTCTGTCAAACTTACCTGCCATGGACTCTTTCATAAGTTCCATGAAATCGTCTTCGGACAATCCGGGGAAAAGTACAATGTCAGTAAGTATTCTCTTTACATCCTTACTTAAACTCTTTGCTGTCTGTACACAAATGACAACTGAAATGTTAAAGTGTCTGAGCTTCTTAAGAATTCGACACATATCTTGTTCTCTGTTCTTTAACAAAGGATGAGAGGCGAAATCATCTAAGATAAGAAGACATCTGTGAGGGTAAGTCTTCCAATCGTAAGATTGCAATTTCTTCGAAATGTATTCTATCTCTTTCTGTTTGTTTCTGAAGTGTTTCTTCTCTAATATTCTCTGCATTTCCTCATTTGGGTCTTTAAACTTAGAATTTATATACTCATTTATAGCATTGTACTTCAAAACTCTTCTTTGGTACTTCTTTATCCAATCTAACAACTCAGAGTCTTTTATACATACTAACTTAGACTTCTTTATAATATCTTTGAACGAATTGACGGTTTGGTCAAATTGACCAGAAGTACTACAAATGACAACTAACTCATAGAATGGGTTCTTCTCATCTAGTTCTTGTTGTTGTGCAGCCATTTTAAGATAAGTGAAAGTCTTACCCGACCCAGGTGGTGCAATTAGACCTGTTATACCATTCTGAGCAAATAAGAACTTGTCATGTATGGGTTTTATCTGAGCATTTTCCAACTTCCTCTTGTTCTTGTTTAAAACATTCTCAAATTTTTTGTCAATGTCAGCAAACTTTTTTTCTAACATATTTTTAGAAAAATTAAAATTTTTATCTTTTAGAAAATGTCTAGCGATTTCGCCATCTATATTCGAGACAAGCTTTTCGACAGCAAAACATCTGTCGACCATAAAATCTTACATAGTGTAAACAAGAAAGGTGAATTTGTTCTAAAGTTCTGTTTCTGGGAATATGACAAGAACCATAAAACATTAAGCAGAGCAGTCTTAAAATTTGTCAATGACAGACTTGTTGACAGAGATGACGCCGATTGGAAAGATGAAGTCCAACAAAAGTTCTTAGAATGCAAAGAAGACACATGCGCTGTTCTTGAAGATGAAATAGAAAACAGAATAGATGAGCTATTAAAGGACAAAGAACTTTTACATAAATATGGTTCGGAGAAATTTGACATAACTCCACCAGAAAAGAAGAAGAGAGAAAAGAAAGAAAAGAAAGTAGAAGAAGAGAAGAAAGAACCAGAGCCAGTTCCAGAGAAAAAGAAATTTGACATGTAAAAATAAAATTTTATTTTTAGAACATTTCTGGGTCAATGTCAATGTTCTCTTCCTCTTTAGGAGCAAACACTGGCTTAGACTCTAAAATCTTTTTACCCAATTTACCTTGAACTTCTACAACTTTAGACTCATAATATTCATAGTCGTCTGCTTTCTTTGGTTCATAAGGTATAACAAGTTTGTATGCTTTGCCTTCTTCGAGTTTTGAGAACCTTCTGTCAAAACTTTCTTTGACTGCTAACAAACCTTCTATGTCTAAGTCTTCAAATTTCGCACCATTTTTAGTCACAATAGCAAACTTAACTGGTTCGATGTTCCAAACTTTGCTGAATGAAGACTTTTCAAAATGGTAGAAGTAAACATTCAAATATGTGAATGGGTCTAGTTCTTCTTTAAGTCCTGACATGTACTTGTTTACTGAGATGAATTTTGTCATCTTTTCTATCGGATAAAAAAAATATTTTTTTTAAAATTTACTCAGAAAAATTTTTCTTTGTATATACACCATTCTGTACGTCTAAAAGACTTTTGACATTTGCCAAGAATGTTCGTTTAGACGCTGTCATATAACCATACTCTTGACAATACTGTTTATACGAGTCGTACAATGACCTTTCATCTAAACACTCAAAGTCAGTTTCATCTATGAACAGTTCATATACACTCTTGTTTGCTTCTAACAATGTTTGTCTCTCTTCGGTATGTGGAATTTGTCTTGGATTGAACTTTGAAATATCTAATGTCATAAAATATGAGAACAAGTGGTTGTAAAAGTCAGATGTCAAAGTTTCTGCTAAGTCGTCAAATATTCTGTATCTTGCATATGAGCTTCTGACGTTCTGACAACTACATATCTTCTGTCAGAACTTTCTAACTTCATCGGAACAACATTGTTTGAAACCATAACGAAGTTTGCAACATTTTCACAAACTCTTTGGTCTTTATATTTTCTTTCAACAACTCCAACTTTGTCTGTTATAAGACTCTTCAAAGCATCTGAGTTTAAAACTTTTGTTGTATCTATACTTTGAAGTTCGTTACATACTATAAGTTTCATATTCTCTATTGAAGAGTTAAATTTACCGCAGATGTTTTCTAAGTTTGTCATATTAGGGTTCGAATAGCCCTCTAACAGTTTGCATAAGATATCTGTAAAGAAAGTGTTCTTACCAGTTCCTTGTTTTCCAATTATAATGAGAGCAGTTTCATTTTTAGCACTTGGATGTTGTAAGATGTTTGCAAACCAACATAAGATATACTCATAGACTCTTTCGTTTCCATTGCATATAATTTCTTTGACATGGTCTAACCAAGCTTCTATAATATTTTCTTTCCATTCTACTTGTTCGTATTTATATCCAGTGAAGATAGAATAGAAGTTTGGAGAAGGTGTATAGAACTTTATACCACGAACTGAAAAATCTTCTAACTTTGACAATAAGATATCCCAAGCATCTAACATCTTCATGCCAACTTGTACGACTTTTATTTTCTTAAGTTTCTGTTTACATTCTTGTTCTGAAACTATTGTTGCTCTTGGTTTGTTAAAGACTACATCCCATTCTTTCATAACATAACATTCTGGGGCAGAGTCAACATAAATGACTAAACGTTTCAAATTCTCGACTGCTTTGTTATAGTCTCGAAATGGACACATATTTCTGAATGTTTGGAAGTCATAAAAATCTGAAACATCTATTCTGTACATTTTTATAAAAATAAAAAAAAATATTTTTTTTTATTCTTGAGCTATTTGTTGCATTTGTTGTTCTTGAGCTATTTGTTGCATTTGTTGTTCTTGAGCTATTTGTTGTTGAAGTTGTTCTTGTAATACAATACTTTCACCAGTTGCATCTTCCAATTCGAAACTTTCTGCCGTCATTGACAAATACATAGGACATAAAAGTTTTACAGGAACAAAGTTTGCGTCAACTAAGGTTAAGTTTATGTTTGCTAAAGTGTTTGAGTTTACTAAAGCTGAAAACTCTGCATTCGAATGAACAATAGGCAAACCAGCAGAGAATGTGTTATTTATACGCATAAGTATCTTTTGGTCATAGTAGTTTCTGTCGACATTCGAATAACACTTTGAACCTAAGTTTGAAACAATATATAAAATAGGTGTGCTTAAAGTCAATGGAATAGACATTCCTTGTATGACACCTTTTCCTGTTATAGGAAACTGTTGGTAGTAAAAACAGATATAAGTTTTGTATTATAGCTCATATTGTTTATAGTAAACTCAGTCGGACATCCAAACATAATGAAACCTGCTCTAGTTGCAGCACATGTTACACTCGTCCTTAAAGTATTAAATAAGTCAACAAAACCTGTTGGTGGTATATCTGAGTAAGTATCTTCAAAGGAGTATTTTTTACCATTCACAACAATAAAATCTTCTGGTGTCAAAAGAGCAAAACAAGCTTTAGTCGTCATTGTGTTTAAAGTTAGTTTACAATATCGTCCTTGAGGACTTTGTAAGTTTGTTGTTATAGAATTATATGACTCAGGGTTTTTAGTCGTAATAGTATAAACCATTGTGTCTTCTGCCATTTACATATATTTAAAAGTTTTTCTGAAAGTGGAGAAGAACTTCATCTAAACTTTCACATGGCGTTTCTTGAAGTTCTCTGTCTAAGAAGTTCAAATATTTGTAAAGACATAGAACTTTCCTTTGTCTACACGAACAAACAAAACAGGGTCTTTCATATCGTTCAAAAGTGTGTAAAGTCCTTTACATGAAATAAAGTCTATATTATTTTTCTTCAAACATCTTTCAAGAAGTTTTGACATTTTTACTTAGCAAATAAATTTTAATGAAATGTTGTGGTCGTCAAATATTTTATGACGTCTGGGAAACTATACTTTAAGTTCAACGTTTCACCTCCTTTCATAACGTATATCTTGTCAATGACATTATATGAAACACCACAGCAACTAACGTCGGGTTCTATTTCTTTGATGTTTATATCGTCTGCCTCTGTCAAAAGTTTCAATAGTTCTTTCAAAACTTCATGAGGTGCAATGACATGAGTTCACTTTTACAGGGTTGTGTTCGACCAAGTTTAACATTATACCTAAAGCTTGACAAATCTTCTCCTGAGTTTGAAGTTTGTCTTTCAGTTGTTGGTAGTCGTTTCGAATATCTGCAACAGAACTTAAGTCTCTGCTAACTTCAGGGTATGTTGGTTGTTCTTTTACAGAACTATTGTTATACCATTTTCGTCTTCGTATGGTTTCCCCACTTCAACATCTCTGTCTTTGACATTGACAACAACACTTTGACTGTTTGTTTGAGTTGGTGAATTTAACTTCACATCTGCCACCGCCATTAAAACCTTTTGAAACACTTACGCTTCTATTTTTTCGGAAATGACATTTTTTAGAATAAAAAGATGGACGTATTCGGATATCTCTTCGAATTGAAGCAAAACAAAGTTTACACACACAAACAATACAAATACATTGACAGATAGTTCTTTATACAAACAATGGAAAATGTTATAGAATAGCAGTCTTTGCTGAACAAAATATTTTCATAAAGCAAAGAAAGTTGGTATAACTGAAATGGTGAAAGTTCTTGACGTTGACAAAAATATAACAACAAAACTTACGATATTTCTAAAGGTAAGTTTATCTTACAATATTATGTCAAAACTGGCGTACTGTCAATATTTGACGGAGAGAAGTCAGTTCAAGAACAACTTACTGACCTGCTGCCAAAATCTGCTCGATGGAAGCTGTCGTTATGCCATCTGAGGAGCCCAGCAGGTTTCATCGAACGAATCTTCAAAAGAGCATCTTCCGTGAAAAGTGCTATTGGTTTTGTAAACTTCTTTGCTCTCAGTTCATCTGGACCGTCTCTGTCACCAGTATATTGTATTTGAACTGTACCAACAGTTGAAATACCACCCATAAAGTCTTCTGAGTCAGCAAATGGAATGCCAAGCCAAAAGTTTGAACGGTCTCCATTTGTATATTGAGTTTTTTGACCTCCTGTATGGGTCCATACTTTCACATATGGCATAATAGAACTTTGCATTTCAGGTTAATGGTTGTTATGAAGTTGTTGTTAAAGTTCATAGCATCTAATGTCAAGTTGTATGACCTCATATCCTCAACTGTAGAATATTCTTCTCTGGTTATAATATTTGCCATCTATGTTTATATGATATTTAATACCGGGGTTGTAGAAACAAGAATAGTCATTTATAGTTCGTCTGAAAAGAACAAACATAGTATCTGCATGTTTCATTGCAGTTGTTAAGCAATATCTGTTCTTGCACCTGGGTCAGCACTTTGGTTTCCAACTTCACCTGCAAAGTCTTTGACAGATATTTGGTGTATAGGGAACATAAGTGGAACTGCAATATATTTGGCAGCTAAAGCATTTGAAATATCTGGGTCCAACATATAGACTGCAAGTCTGCTTTCTATTCTCTTGCATTCAAATTTTTCGCATGTGAACTTAACTGGGTCCCAAGCAGTTCCAGCAGCATTGAAATAATAGTTTACTTCAGTGTTGAGGTTTGAGAAACCAAAGTCTAAGTCAACTTTGTCTTTGCAAAAGTCGGCGAATGACGTTTTATTTGTTCCCTCTACGTCTGTAATAGTGAATGGGTCTTGTGTTGGTGCAATGACTAAGTTATTTTTGCTTGGAGTAAGTTCGATAGAAATTTTTCCTGCCCAGTTTGGCAAGTATCTTAAAAACCTGAAGATGAGGAAAGATGACAAAGGAACTCTAAGTTTCAGTTTTACTTTGGTTACTGCTGCTGCAGTTTGTCCAGAAAGGTCAACATAAACTCCTGGAACGTTAGGGTCAAGTCTTCTTATTTTCTCAATAGTTGCATACTGGTCTGTTTGTTCTCTAGCTTGTGGTTGTACTGAGTTTCTCAAAGCGAACCATTCATAGTTTGCCCATGTTACTGTTTGAACTAAGTCAGAGTTAGAATATATCTTATATCCCATGAAAACTTCTGGAGCATATTGGTATCCGACATAGAAAATTCCATTGCAACCTTTCTTGTCAGACAACTTGGCAGAAGGTTTTATTTCAATGTCTTGTTCCACGTATAAGAATGAGTTGTCAATAGAAATTATATGAAACCTGTCGCAAGCAATATCTACTGTTGTTGAAGAACCTTCACCAAACTCACCTACATTTCCATAAGAAACAGCAGTTGTATATTCGTAAGTTCCAGGAACTATTTCTGACCTTCTAATGGCATTGTCGCATTCGTTATACCATTCGGAAACATTTCCGTTCATGGCATCCAAAACTGTTGGCGTTATATTCTGAGCGGCGTACATTTCATATGGGTAAAAATATAGAATAGTTGGATTTATTTGTCATAATAGAACCCACGTGGACCAAGCTTTACTTTCTTCCTGGCTGAGTTTTTAACTCTTCTTTTTCCTTCATTGCCACTACTTTCACTTTGTTCTTCACTACTTTCACTTTGTTCTACTCTTCTCTTCTTCTTTGGTGTCGCTTTTGGTAACATGCCCTCTGCTTCAAGTTGTTGCATCTTTGCATCATGTTCACCTAGTATGTTGTAAATTTCCCATGTCCTTTTTGCCTTTAGGCTCTGGTCGCCCATCTCAGGTATCCTATATCCTAGAAAGATTTCGTCATAGTTTGTATTTGAGTCTTCGCGTATTGTTTGCATGACTCTTTCCTGAGTTTTCGGTTCAAGCTCTTCAAATATAGCTTGTCCATATGGAATAAGCTCGTTTCCAAATATATGTTTTTGTAGCCATTCTGGTTTTCTTTCCATGTTACCAACAATATCTTTTGTGAATGGGAAAGTTTACCCAACGTTTCAGGCTTGGGTCATTTATTTCTGTAGTTGGTTTTATTTTGTCAAGGAACATGTTTTTCAATACTAACATTTCATTTGGTACTGTCCATTTGAGTTTTCTTAAATATTCATCCCTTCTCGGTTCATTGTCTGCAAAGTAAGTTTTTATGACATTTTGCAAACTTTCGTTTGCAAGGTCATGTACAATAGGTTCTCTTCCTTCTCTCTCCCTAACTCTCTTTCTAAACTCTTCACCAAATATACCATCTCTATGGTTCTGTGTTAGTTCTTTGAGATAAATGTTTTAGAACGTCAGGTGTTATATTTCCATCAGCCATGTTCATTTCATACTGGTTCAAAATATCTGCATCTTTCATATCTTTCAATGGCATTAAAGCCGCGCTGAAAATACCAGCTAAATCTGGTTCACCATTCATTTCCATTGCGTCTACAACATCTTGGAATTGTGGTTGTAAGTTTATGAACCACCTATCCGGGTTAGCTTTATGACCCCATCTCATTGTAGTTCCATAGTCTGCAGAAACAAAAGTAGGTTTGTTTCCATATTGGTTAGGTTCTGAATGAACTTTAAACAATGTTTCATTTCTATATGTTTTGTTGAAATTTAACCTTTTATTTTCACCGAGTTCAGCCAAAGATTGAACGTTATATGGTCGTAAGTAAAAAGGGTTATTGTATTTGCGTACATTTTCTTTCAGTACTTCCATTCTATGCTGAATATTTTCATCTGGTGTTGGAGTCTTTTGTATGTCGGCAAACATTTTTCGATATTCTTCTACCATGTCAGCCGAATTTTTCTTAGACTCTTGGAAAGATTCCATATTCACCTCATACT